ATACTTTGTGGGGTCTGCCACGCCTCCTTCTGCCTGTTACATATTTTTAACAAAACCATTATACCCTGATTTCCAATTTTCAATGGGTTCAGGGTATAAAAAAAAAAGCGAGAGTCGAAAAAATGTGAAGAAAAAAATAAAGGAACTCAAGTACTGTCCTTTTTGTCCTGGCTGCTGTTGTCATTGTTCTTGTTGTTGCCGTTGTTATTGCAGGCAGCATCTTGTGCCTCGTTTGTAGCAGTTATCTTTCGGTCCTGCTGAGCTGCCCGCGCGAAATGAAATTGTTTACTCCACTGTCATGTGCACGTGAGACGTGGACAGCGCTGTGTCCTGGCTGCTGCTTACGGCACACTTGGTCTGTCGCTATCATACAATGAGAAATCTCTCTTTTTTCTCTGCCCAAAAAATGAAAGAAAATTCAACGTAATAATTCTTTTCCGCTCGGATAAGGTGCGATTGGAATGAGCGCGATGGAGGGTTGGACCACTTGCCTGGGCTTTTGCCCCGTAATTGTGCGCAATTTTTGTTACATTTGTGCTGCCCATTTGCCAGCAGTGGCAAACATCTTCAGTTCAGAATTTTGTGTCTTTAGTCCGGCTTTAGCTGGTCTCCTTTTGCATTTTGGGCTCTGCAAGTTAGCGATTCTCTCGCTTAACACTCCACCTCGTTTGGCACGCATCCGCTTTCTTCATAGCCAATTGGCATTCCGATACGGCTCACCATTTTGGTCTGCACACATGTGAAGCACGCCTACCACCCACATGAGCAATCGCTGGCTCACGCCTAAGCCTCGGCCATTATTCAGGGGCTTATTAAAGGACTGCGCATCAAACTGTCGCACCAAGGCAAGCAAAGCAAACAGCACAGTCCATTTAACTGATTTCAGGGAAAATAAAAACAGAGCGTAAAATAAATATTTGCAAGGGATATAATGTACTGTCGCGAGGGCGTGCGTTTTGCTGATGATGAGCAAACAACCTAAAGCGCAAGCATTTTAAATTCTTACAGCCTGTACTTTCCCTCCTGCGGTGCTCCTGCTGCCTGCATTCGACGGGCTCTCAGTCGTGGCAGTTAGTCCAAGCTAGGGCGGGCACTCGAGCTTAGCCCTTGCCCAGTTTACGGAAGCAGTCTTCAGCCCATTTAGAATCCCCCCCTCTCGGTCATTCGGTCCATCGATTCCACGACGCTCCTATGGCCGAATGGCCGTTAAACTAAAACCGCATATTAGCAGACCATAAATACGGGATGTGTTTTTGGACTCGGTACTTAAATATGATATATGTGCATATTGTATTACATTTGGATTTAGGGCAGCGCCAAAGACAATAAATTAGCCAGGACACACACCGATAATTGCACACATGCTGTGCCTGCACTCCTCGCACCGAACAATCAATACTCTTGCCATAGAGGCAACTATGTTTTGCATGTAAGTCAGGTCAAGTCATTATTGGTAAATGGGACTTATACCGAATCTTATTTTATTTCATTATAAAAATCTATTACTTTCTTACATTTGATTATCATTGTCGAACCGTTTAAAGCATGTTAGTCAATTATAATATTAATTCTTATAAATTATCTTAAATGCATTAAATAACATGCAATTATTAAAAATAGAAATAAAAATTGTTTAAATAAATTCTAAAATTTTATTTGAAACAATCAAAATATTCAAATAAATATTTTTTTAATTTATTCTAAATATTTGCTTAATACAATAAAAATTTATGGTATTGCTAATCATTATTATTAATTCTTTAAATTTATTTTAAATTACTACAAAATAATAATTAATCTATAAAACGATATAGAATAATTTTCATTTGTAAAAATAAACTGTTATACTTAATACTTTGTCTATTATTTGAGTTTTCAATTATATCACTCTATGTTTTCAGGCAAGAGCTGTATAGCGCTTGGCCGCTGCTGGAAGCCCTTTTGCGTCAGTGTATAAAATGCAACCCGTAATTATGTATGGAAGTGGCCAACATGCAATCCTCCCAGTTAGTTGACCGGCTGACCAGTTGGCTGCCCAGCTTGGTGTCGTCAATGCAACGTTTGCCAAATTTACACAAATTCCAATTGCCGGGCGGCAGCCAACTACCGGACTTGCGTTGACTTGAGTTGAGTTGAGTTGAGCTGAGCTGAATTGAGTTGGGGTCTGGGCTCTGGTCAGCAGCACTTCTGCTTTATGAAGATTGGCCCGAAACGTGTTTTTGGCTGGCCGCAACTTCTTGCTCATCTTGGCCCGGGTCGATTATTATGGGCAGCGGTGCGCTGCAATTATGTCGTCCAATTAATATTAACACAGCGGGCGGTGCCTGATGAAGGTGTGCGGACCGGGAGGAGGCTTGGCATTTTATGCATAAGCTATTTATGAAATTTATTGTCTCTGATGGCATTCACTGAGCAACGGCAGGCAGTTGGTTAACTGCGACTGGCACTGGAGCTGGGCCTCGAACAGGGACTGGGTCTTGGACCACCCGTTGGCCGTTTGCAGTTTGAAGTTTGCAATTCGAATTTTATGGTATCCAGTTCGAAGTTGGTGATCGCTGAACTTATGCAAAATCGTTTGATCGGTTTTTCGATTAGGCGTAAAAATGCTAAACAGATGTCGGGACCGCACAGGCCAGGCATCAATCAAGCTGTCAATATGGCAATATATGGCCAGAGCAAGGTGTCCGCATAATTGCAGTGCCCACAGTTAAAATTTATTATAATTTCCACACTTCGAACGCGAGCCGAACTTGAAAGTCAAAACTATTCAGTATGCGGAACATTTTTTCGTGTAACTCAATGTCATTATGTTGATAGACGTTGCACAAGAGGCAGCTGCCGCTGCAACGTGACATGCCGTAGGCCGAGCGGCAGCACTCGGTGCGCAGGACGCAATAGGGGAGAGGTACGCACATTGCGCGCCCTTTAATTAACAATTAAGTTGCAGTTTTATGACTAGGCCAAAGTCGTCCTTTAATCCTGCTGCGAAATTGTTAATGGATCCTTCTAGCTGCCTGCTTATTAAATTATGCATTCAGCTCGTTTCTCACACGTGCATAAATATGCAAAGGACTCAAATCTTCCAGGTTGACTAGCAGGCGCAGGTGCATCTGCAGATCCGATCCCTCTGATATGGGAGCGAGCTTATCTAGGGCTTGTGGCTTGCGGCTTTCGCTTTCGCCTCAGCCTCAGCTTTGGCCCATCACCACTTATCGCATAAGCTGCTTGTAATTGAATTTGCGCCGAATTCAGATCAGCTCCCGAGTTGGCTTTTCATTATTTTGCGTGTCGCATTTTATTTTATTAACATGTTAAGGGCCACGTTGTAATTTGGTTTTGGGCCTGTTCGGAAAAGTACACAAAAGAGCTCGAGGGCTGGCAGCGCGATGCGACGCGCTGATGGATTACAAGCAAATTGGTCGCAACTCCACCATAAATTTTGATGCAATTTTAATGAAATTAATGACCTGACACACTGGGCCACAGCGCGAAGGCTAAACAGCCCGAACCAGTTTGCGATTACGGGGAGATATCCCCAACAGACGCGATGAAAGCAAAGAGCATTTTGAGCAGATCATAAACGTAAGTGCAGGGTGACGAAAGTTTTTCGAGACTGGGCTCGGTTTTTAGGGGCGAAATACCCCTAATTATCTGCCTTTCATTCTGCTGAAGCTCCCCAATTCGAGCATGTATTACAGAAACGCCTCAAGTCAAACTAATCATTTATCCAACTCACACAATATGCACAATATATCTATACATACATACATACTATAGGCTTCTGTACTGTGTCTATAATTGTGTTTGTGAATGCGAATGGGAAATTGGCAAGTTGTGCTCTAAGCATGGAACGGCATGATAATTAGGCTTTGCTATACAATTTGAAAATGCATTTTACATTAACTTAATTATTTTCCATCAAAAAACATGCCAGCAGCGACATGAGAATGCGAATGCGAATGCAATTGGCTGGCCTTAAGTGTAGTCTAGATTGTTTATGGCCCTGCCACACGCACTACTTTGCAGGTCTCCCTCTCTCTCTTTCTCTGTGTGCTAGCTATTGCCCTCTCTCTTGGACGTTTACTGATAGCCAATGCTG